AGCTGCGTCGTCCTGCGTGCAGGTCATGACGAGCTCGGCGAGCCCGGGAAATCCGAATGGGTGAAAGATGAAACTTAGCCGAGGGATGACGCCGTCGATGTCTTCTTCTTCGAGCACGATATTCAAGCAGGAGACAGTGCTGGCGCACAGTCGTAACTTGGCGGTGTAGCAGTTGAAACAGAGTGCATCGAGGCTCCAATTCGGGTCGAGCTTAAGCTGAGTGATTGGAAACGTGGATCGATATGTGCATTGACATGCCATACTCGTCATTTGATCGGATGAGCATCGGACGACTTGCAGTGCGGTAGGAACCGTAGCGGGGTCATAGACGAGCTCGAATCCGTCTTGCTCCTCACAGGACTCTGGTAGAGTGAAGTCGAAGAGTCGAGGATAACGGCGCATGAAACGATCCAGAGCTCCGGCTTTGCTGCGGTGGAAGGCGAGACGTCTGAGGGAGGGAAATGTTTGGGAAAGCGTAAGAGACTGAAATGAGCCGTGTGGCATGTCGTATGAATTCGGCGCGGACTCCGGTGTCTCGAGGTCAATCTCTTCTAATTGCGGATGCCGATCCAGGAAGTCTTCAAGTAGCTTGTGCAGATCGCCCCAGACTCGGCGGGCGTCCTCAGGCGAAAGAAATTGGCCGTGCATTTTCTGCGTGTAAATAGACGTCTTCAACTTGATGCGACGACGCGGTGGCCAATGTGCCTTGAGAGCAATCTGGTAGTGTCTGCTCTAGCGCTCGTCAACAGACAAGTGAAGTGCGAGTTCTTCGATCCGAGGAGAAAGGGCGTTCGTGAGGGATTTCCAAATGTGATCTCAAATGCAGCGACCATCACAATCAGAGGTATTGTAATGTTCGATGCCGAACGCCCTCAAGGAGGGGAACTTGCCCTCATCTTGCTCCTTGCAGATCTTCTCGACAACCTTAGCAAGTGCGGCCACCGCCGTGCTGATCGATCGTAGAGGCACGGTATCTTCCTGAAGTCGCCGTCAACGTCGGCTAGCTGGTACGACTCCGATAGCACGCGAATGGCTGTGATGCGTTGGGCGATCTCCGGAAACACGAGCCGTGTGTTGTGGATCGCGAAGCTGCTGAGCACTCCGAAGGACAAGTCGATCAAGGGTAGCGTTGAACCACTCGATATGCAGATGTCGTAGAATAATTTGTACGCGTCCCGCTCCCATCTCCGGTCGAATTGCTCGCCGCTGTGAGCTGCTGAAAATCGAACTGAGGGCCTCCAGAGCGCGGGAACCTGATGGCTGTGGGGTTCGCATTGGTATCGACGATGGAGATCATTGTCCCACATACGTAGATTTTGGACGTGACGTAGGAGTTCCCTGGCGCGGTGAACACTCTTACGGCCCACTACCGAAATTGGTGTCAAGATCGCGCAGTGGAAATGGAAGCGCGGCCGCACGCCAGCTCTTAGAAACTGTCGAAGCACTGAGCAGATCGATCCTGTCGTGCGAAAGTGAGCAAGTATCATCTGTAGAATATCCGGAACCTGGAATGCGCGAGAGAAGACCGTCGCCTTGCGTTCCGCTGCTTGGAGGTCGAAGCCCACGGCGTCCGTGTTGTCAGTTGTAGGCAGTAGAGCTTGCCATTGACTCAGTTCCCAACAGCTATAATCTATGTCCACTTCCCAGACGGAAGGAAAAGCCTCACCGCTGTCAGCCTTGCCGTGCAGCACTCGATTGCTGGTGGTCATGTGGTCACGGCTGTGGATGGCGGATGGTGGATTGTGTTGGCGTGTGTGTGGCCTTAGAGGGGGTGATTGTGAAAGATAGGATGATGAGCGAGGTAAAAGGAAACACGGCCGTGGGTGTGCGCGCTTGGGTACTGACAAGGCTTCAGCTGGCAAGGGAGGCGTGATTCGATGTAGAAGAGAAGAGGAGGTAGTACAAGAGTGTCGAGGAGAGAGGGGAAAAGGGTCTGTTGCTACGCAGACGTGCGTCACGGAACAAAGGAAAAGGAAAAGCAGAGAAAAAAAAAGGAACGCAAGAGTGTCGGCACGGGCGCGACCAGCGTTGACATTCTTGCGCATCCACTCAGGCCCCAGGTGCCTGCTCCCAGCCCTCGGAAACGAGGAACAACTGGAGGCGAACCGGCGGACGGTAGCGGCCAGCATCGGAATGGCCGCCTACTTGAACTAACGGGGAATGATGAAGAGCTTGAATACCATACAATTGGAGGGAGATGGGAGCAGGAAGAGAGCCGCAGAAGCCGTAAGACGCTCCGACATGTCAAGTGTAGTTAGAGCCCCAACGCGAGAGCGTGATTGTGAAAGATGAAGTTGTTCGCCGGAAGGGGGCCGAGGGCATTTGGGGTGGTCCTGACTGTTCCCGGGGGAGCGCAATCGAAAAAATGCTCATGTCGGGCATTCAGGGACGTTGAAGGGCGGTTCTGGCACACCCGCTGTAGCTGCATTGCCTTGAAGGTACTGGCGCGTTTCACTACCCTTCTTGATTGCGATACTGCTGGCGAGGATCACTTGCGGACTCCTCTGGGTTAATGTAGAAGTGGAACTTGCCAATCTCCTCGTATTCGGGGAAGTCCTGACCAGCTCTCCTGTTGAAGTCGTTCAGCTGCCTCCGCGTGATCGTCCCGACATGGGCGTGGGCAAAGACGCGCACTGGACCGCCCCTGCCACTATCGTTGGCCCCGGGCATGTTGTCGGCTGGGTGTCCGGTAAACGTTGGATTGTTCAGCGCCGCATTGTTGTTGTTCAGCCGCAGCCGGGCCTCTGGGTCTGTCATATGAACAGCAAAGACGAGGATGTTGTTGTTCATGTTGGCTTCATTGTCCGGAAGGTCAGGGTCCTGAGTCACGCGAAGTCAGTCGGAGTCAGTTATGTACGAGCGACGTCAGGATCTCCCGTCCCGCGATCGCCGACACGGTCGGGGCACCATTCCCTGGGACAGGACTCACCAGATCAAAGGTGAGATAGATACCGTTCGATGGACCCCTGTCCAGAGCGTCGTTGTACCGGTTGGAAAATTGGCCTAAATTCCGGTAACCTTGCGATAAGCGCGAATAGGCCTGAACACACATGCTATCCTCGCCAAGGTTACCCGTGCGCATGCTCGAGGTAAAATCTCCGGCGTTGCTTGACCCTTGCGCTCGCGCAGACTGCATGGCCGACCGCACCGCCACAAAGTTGACGCCTGCAATTTGAAGTCCAAGGATGAAGGCGGCCTCGAGGGATGTCGGGCCGACTGCTCCTCTCTGGAAGTAGCCCACATTGGATGCCTGTGGCAACACGATACCTACGTGAGGTGGGCGCGCCCCGCCAGCTGTGGCTCCTCGCCAGTCCCATGTCTGGCTCTCGGTGATGCGTGCCGTATTATCCGCTATGATTGAGCGTAGGTCCGGAGGGATGACCCGGGCTTCGTCACTTGCTGGGTTGGCCGGAATTGAAGGAAGCACACCCTGATCGAGAACGAATCGACGCCAAGCATTCAATACCCGTTGCGTGACCTCGGCCCAGTTCCATCCTCCCGGATCCCTAATCGTGACTTCGGGCCGAGTGGATGTATCCACGTCCGTCGGGCGGTAGAAGGGCCATATATGGCCACCCACATTTGCGATGTCCCGGAAGATTTCGTCGCCGTTCAGGTTGGGCTGTGACCGGGAATACAGAAATGCTAAGAGCGCGGCCAGTGTCCTAATCTGAGGAAAGCCATCACATTCAAGGTGTATCAGGGTCCACACTGCGTCTTCGCGCCTCTGAAGCACAGATTGAGCGACTCACCTGATTGGGAAAAGCGAAGGTAGTCTTCCCGTCTTCCAAGCCTCTTAGTTGCGCTGGATTCAGACCGTCCTGAAGCTTGTGTTCGTCGAGGAGTTCTAGTTGCCGTTCGTCCTCGTTTGCCTCGCCGCGGCGCCGGAATGGGGGAGAGCCGTCAGAGAACCTTTTCCGTCCAAGAGAGGTGAGGGGTAAGCTGGTGCATGGATGCAGAGACCACCGGGTCGAAGCGGACGGGTGAGGGGGCAAACGTACCAATCATCACCAAATCTAGTGTTCTGGAAGTGAACATTTCCTGTGCATTGACGTGGGGAAGTGGTCTTTTTGACGAAGGACGTGGTACCTGAGCATTCACCAGCACAGAAAGAGATAGAGAAGCTGTCAGCGCAATGAGTGAATGGTTCAGATCGAAAACACTCACCAGTCAGCGTCACTGGTATGTCCTTTGAACCCTTCAACAGACACTGCGGACTCTGGTGGTCGGCAGTCAAAGGTGGAATCTCGAACACGAGGCAGTTTGCATCCTTGTTGCAAAGCTCTGCACACGCTGAGGGCGCGCTGATGTCCACAGTCGTGTAGGCGGTACCAGGATACGATACGTCCGGTTGCATGTCGTAATTGTTAATGAGCGAACACGGGCAGCCATCGGTGTTCACGTTGGCGCACAGGCTCTTACAGCCCCCGTACAAGAAACCGCATCCACGCGACCCGTACCGGAAATGATCCCAGCACGAGTGGTCATACACGCGTGTTCCCTGAGGATCGCACCGATGAGACTTCTCTGAGAGGATGGCTCCGCAGGAGCGCGACCAGAAGATGTACGTGGAGCAGGCTGGCGGGGGCTTTGAGCCGTCGGGGTCCCAGTATGTGACACTGGTGAACCGGAAACCGTAAAAGTACCGGACCTCCATCAGCCGAGCGCTAAGTGCAATCACCAGCGCGCCCAGGTCGATCTCAAGGATTGTTGTGAGCGCGGCTGCAAACAGCGCTGGTAGGAGTCCTTCGAGGTGCAAGGCGGTAAAAGAAGGTGAGCCACCTTGAAAACAGTGTAAGCAGGCCCGAACACTAACTTTTGTGATGGCCGACGTCGTGTCTGTGAGGCACGCCCCGTACGACGTGCAGCTTATGCTTGACGGACCAATGCGTTGTGCTGGAACGCAGATCGCTCTGTCCGAGTGCCGCCTTTTCGACCGAGCGAATGCACGAGCAAATGTCCTCGCAAGCATGATTCTCGATGCACTTTTGAACCAGGTTGTCGTGACCGTTGCGGCAGGCTGCTTCTGCCGCGGGGATGTATCCTGTTCGGCAGGAAGGAATCAGGACGGTGTGATCGAGAGTACGACCAGGAGGTAAGGTGCACAAGCCAAGGAGCACTGCCTAGTGCTGCTCACACCCACCTGAACATTGCAGCAAGTCCCGACTCTTGCACGATTCGGACTTGGTACGAAGCGTCGAACAGACCTCGGGAGCTCTGTGTTTGGGTAAGCGAAGGAGGTTGTCGAGTTCCTCACGGCTGATTCGATCGTCTCTGTCCCGATCGAGCGCTTCCAGCAACTCGACAGGCTCCGGCAAAGCGAACGCTTTTCGTGCCGTATACGCCGCTTGTGGAGAGTTCCAGTTCATAGATAGGATGCTCTCCAACTCGTCGAGCGTGACGAAACCGTCCGCATCCTGATCGAGCAGCTGGAACCAGGACAGTGGCATTCCGGAGAGCAGGCGTGAGTGATCCTCCTTGACGAGTGGCGGCTCATAATTTGAGACAAGGTTGCCGCCCAGCTTTGACTTCGAACCAGGCTGAGTGCGTTCGAGCTCTTCGATTTGATAAGTGTCGCGGCGGGAATTTTGCGCACTGCTGTTCGCGAAGGGCTGTTCTACGACGACAGTGGCTGGCGGGCCGAAGGGTGACGTGTCCTCGGATGGACTGCGATGATGTTTGGAGAATTCATGGGCAGATGTAAGGTTGGAAAACGACGGAATGGAGAGTCAGTTCAACAGTACTTGCGCATAAATGATGACTCTGGCTGCATTAAAACTTACTAAACCGTGTCGAGGCAGTTGAACAAACACCCCCCAGCCACATAGCACGAACTACTATTGCCCCTTGGCGCACACTGCACCTTGGAGTTGCAGCAGTATTGACCCGCACCATCATTCCCTTCCACCGAGTTCGAAGCTGAGCACTTGCCGCAGGGATTGCCCCCACTTTTGGAGTAGTCTCCGGCGGGGAAGAGATATTTGAAGCTTGATGTATTCGTGAGCGAAATTCCAGCGTATGGGTTGGGCGCCGGAGTTGATGAGCAGTTGGCGATGCAACCGTTCGAAGCTTGACAGTACCAGCTATTTGATGGAGCGCAGAATCCGGAGCTGACACCGGAACAACACGTCCCTATGGGGCATTGACTGCACCCACTGGGCTGCTCGGGCACCTTGCCCCAGTAGGATGTGTCGTTGATGTAGCCGGCGCCCCCGGACGGGCGAGTCGGTACGACCACACCAGGATCACCTTGGCAATTCGATTGACACTTGCGTCCGGATGCGAGAGGGGGAAAGACGGGAAGGATGTTAAATGCCAGATGTGGGGACGCAGGTCATTCACTGGGCCTCTCACTGTGTTGTTCCGGGTGCAGAAGTCAGACCAGAGTGGGGCGCAGACGCTGTACTGGGTGCAGCAAGAACTACTCTTGTCGCAGGCTGAGCACAGTGGCAGAGACCCTGGATTCGTACCGGACACAGTAGGTAGAGAAGCGTTGCCCTGCTTTTGACAGACGAGATCACCGATCGGTAGGGCATTGCACGCGACCGACACGTTGTTGAACGTGTTCAAGGACTGCCATTCGGGTAAGCTCATCGAGACATTGGTGGCGAGGTCGTAACACGAATCAGCTGACTTGATGTAGACTGGCTGGGGACATATCTGCACCGAAGGTCGGAATGCGCAGAGAGACTGGTCAACCTTTAAGGCGGAACAAGATATGTCTGGGTTGAGGCCCAGCAGTTGGGCAGTCGTCAAAGAGAGCTTGGCGGCAATCTTGTTGCAGGTGTCTCCGAGCACGACTGAGTACTGGCTTGTGCAGGTCTGATACCAGCTGGGAGCTGGCGGACGAGCTTTGACGCAGAGCACTTCGCCATCGTAAATGTTGGAGCAGTTCTTGTTGATATTGGGGTTGAGCGCGCGGAGGCTGGCAAAGGTGGTGTTGTACTTTGTCGCAATGTCGGTGCAGGTCTTGCCAGACTTCACAGTGGCGACCCTGCCGCAATTGTTCGATGAACCGTCGATGCAGACGCCAGAACCAGCTTGCAGCGAAGAGCAGAACGATGATGTGTTGCTATTCAGCTGCTTTAAGCTGTACAGCGAGACCTTGGAGCGCTGGCAGATCTTGTCACACGTATCACCTGGTTGCTAAGTATCATGGTATGGGCACGAAGAAGTGGCAGATGTCAACGGTTCTAGTTCCTTCTTGGGGACTCATGATCATTCCCGCTCGGAGCTCACCACGGTCGAGTAGTTGCTACAGGCGAGAGTGGCTGTCGAGGATGGGACAGCACTAGTAGAAGACGTTTTCGTCGTAGTCGATGTCGCTTTCGTTGCCTTCGAAGTTGTGGTCGCAGTCGCCGTAGTACCAGGTGTGGTTGGGGATACACATAGCACTTGTCCGACGTAGATGGCGTTGCAGTCCAGGCCAGGGTTGTCATTGCTAAGCTGGGTGGTCGAGATGCCTTTGGCGGTGGCGATGCTGTAGCAAGTGTCTTGCGATGCGACTGCGTATGTTGCTGTGCAGTCGTACTCCTTGGAATGGAGACAGAGCGACTGACCAATCTGCAAGCCTGCGCAGTTCAAGCCGCTGTTGAGCTGCTTGAGCTGTGCGACTGGGACATTCTTGCTTTGGCAGATAGCGTCGCAGGTGTCCCCAGACACGACCTTGTAGGTTGCTGTACAAGTGTACGCTGTGGCCAGGCTGCAGAAGAGGGAAAACCAGGCCACGATAAAGGGAGCCAGGCCCGCTTTGCCTGAGCGAGTGCCGTTGATGATGGCCCTCATGGGGTGTGTGATGCTCGATGAAGGTCGAATCCGTTGTCACTGAATGAGGAGGGGAAGGTGAAGCTAGACGAGGAGGAGAAAAAAGGGGAGGAGGGAGAAAGCAGGAGGGACAGAGTGATCGAGCAGGCTGCGGATTTGGGTGGACAGAGAAGGACGATGAAGAGACACGTGCTGCCGGTTCACAGTCTCAAAGTAGAAATATGTGGCAGCAGCGAGTCCGGTTGTCCTGCGAGAGTGGGGCCCGGAGGCCTTTGACGATGTTTGGGTCTGCGGCCAAAGCCGTGCTCGGCTGGAGCCCGGAGCTGCTCTGTCGCGCTGGCAATCAGCGTGCCGCTGCGCTCGTAAGGTGTGGGCCTCGGTAAGTAGTGCCCGCGTGGGTTTCTGCGCAGCCACAGAATCCCACTTACCAGTCGCGGAGGATCACTAAGTACTTTGCTAGCGAGATGGATTGACAAGGTGATCAGTGATGCGTGATGCTTCTTTTCCTTTGCCGGGTGTGAAGCTTTGGCGTCCCAACTCCAGAGCTTCAGTGCGTCTGGGTTCAAGCCTCAGGCTCCAGCGCCTGAGGCGTGGATGAGGACGAGCCGGCCGCCAGAGATATATATAACTCGTGGACGGCTTGCCACAGGCGCTCAGCTAAGTAAAAAAAATTGTGGACTTGGTCGCGGCGGGTGTGGATCGTCGGAGGATTTTCTCGCAGGAGATCTGCGCATTGCTGAGAGCAACGTATACAGGAACCCGTCTTCTAGCGCTTCCGAGGGCGCAATAAAGAACCCTACACCCAGCCACATTGCGGCGTCGAAAATATGAAGCGCCTCTGACCTCTCCTATGGAAACGATGTCAAATTTCAAACTACAAGTGTTTCATTCGGCGACGTTCGGTACTCTTGCTGACCATCAGCCGCACCTTCGTTGGACTGCGGCGAAGTTTCGGGCTTCTTCAAACCTCGGGGATGCTGTTTACGCGTCGCAATAGGGAACAATGTCGACACGACCCTGGGGAGCCGCCAGCCTCCACTTCCAGCTGGGCCGCAGCTTAGCGCCCTGGACGCCACACGCATTTATGGAGTAGATATTCGAGAAGAACTAGAAGTGAGTCAGAATGGAAGCAAAATTCATCCTTCCATCGTTCATCGTTTGTCATTCTGCTCACATTTCAAATCACAATCTGTTGCCTCGTCCAGAAGCTGGGTGAAAAATCCACATGGAATCCGAACGCTGAACACGGTCTACTTACCACTACTCCATGCATGTGTATGCCTTCTCGGATCTCAGTGCTCAGGGCTTAGGCGCTCAGGCAGGATGTAGTCTACATCTCGCCTTGAAATGCTTGATTGGCTAATAAACGAAAAGGCATGAAGTCCGAAGCGTCGATCTTTCTTTTTTTCCCTGGCTGGCACCCTTTTTTCTATCTGAGACTTGTGGCTTGGGATCTTGTGTGCTTCAGACTTGTTAATTCATCTCGCTTTAGGTGCACCGCTCATCACGCTCGTGCACCATATACGCCGTTTGGAATTTCGTTTTCCTGTTCCTCCTCTCTCCCCCAATCCGCTCTCCTACCCCTAGCTTCTCTTTCCACTTTACTTTATGATTGCCACTTCACGATCTCACCTATCTCTGTTGAGCACCTGCTCAAATCTGCCCGTAGTGACGACCCTGCGAAGACCAAGATGAGGCTTCGGTCCCTCGTCTCGGCTTTGGTGGCCTTGCCTACACTCGTTCTGGCTTGTGAGTTGGAGCTTCGCGCACAGTCGCTCAATCGCACACCGCATCTCAACGTATTTACGTCTCTCAAATCTCACATGACCGGGTATCTCGTAACTCTCACCCTTTCCCAGATGGCTGTGGATCGAGATACAACAATGCGCTTTGTCCATCGGGCCAGTGCTGCAGTCAATATGGATCTTGCGGTGAGTTTGTGTGTGAAGACCGGGGCAAAGGACCTGCGATCTAGGTGGGATTGATCAGAACGCTGGTTGACTGATAGTAACCCTTGTGCTTGCTCCTCTCAACCTGTTTTCCTCCTCCTCCTCCTCCTCTTCCAGGAACGACCGCAGAGTACTGTTTGACTTCGAAGAATTGCCAAAGTGGTTGCGTTAATGACGGTCCGCCGCCACCGCCTCAGGGACCGCCTGCGCCCGCCATTGACCTCAACAGCTTGTATCACCCCCCGCCTGGAGCGCTCAGCGACCGCGCACTGGTCGGCTACTGGTCTAGCTGGGCTCAGTACCGCGGTGCCGACCCGCACACACCAGCCTGCAAGCTCGCGGACATGCACCTGCCCGAAAACATCAACCCATTCATCTATACCCACATCAACTACGCCTTTGTGTTCATCTCCGACACGAACTTCAGCATCATCCCGCATGAAATCGATGACCAGGACCTGTCCTTGAGGATGAACAAGTTCTTGAAGGGCGCCAATCCCAGCATCAAAACCTCGTTCTCCATCGGAGGATGGACGTTTACCGACGGCGCAAGCAAGTTCACCGGTACGTTTCCCTCCAGTCGCGCCATTCGTATTATGGGTTGGAGCCCGCCAAGCCCTTTGCTCTTGACCGCGCTGATTCTGATTCTTTGACTGCCTCACAGGAGGGATCGATTACTCCAAGGTGTTCTCCAACATGGTTTCCACAGCGGCCAATCGTGCGGCATTCATCAAAAGCTGCATCGCATGGGCTCGCCAGCTCGGCTTCGATGGCATCGACCTCGACTGGGAGTACGTCGGAGACACGAGCCGGGGCGGCTCGACTGCTGACGGCGCAAACTTCTTGACGCTCATCCAGGAGATGCGCTCGGCCTTCTCGAACGAGGCGTCCGCGAGTGGCAAGGCGCCTCTGTTAATCACGATTGCAGCGCCGGCAGATCCAGACAAAGCCAACCTGTTTGACATCAAGGCGGTATCACAGTACATCGACTGGTAAGATCTGGCTCTCCCTTGTCGCAATCCATTCCCGAATCAGAGACAACAGGCTGATGTTGCGATTGGACCTTTTCGTTTTCCAGGTACAACCTCATGAGCTATGACTTTGTAAGTCCCTATTTTCTCAGAGCTGTAAAAAATGCATGTTCGGGAGGCGGTGCTCACATGCGCCGCCTGTATTGTTTCCTTAGTACGGAAACTGGGAGAATCAAGTCGAGTGAGTCTAAGGCAGAGATGCACCTGAGATGGATGGCTCATCGCTCATCACTGACTTGGATCTGATTATGCTTCGGTTATGCAAGTACTACTGCCCCGGTTCAGGACACGATCCAACCTACGTGGTCCTACACATCTGCGATCGATCTGTACCTCAATGCCGGTGTTGATCCCAAGAAGATCAATGCCGGCCTGCCAGCATACGGACGCGTCTGGACACTGAACGACGTCAACAAGAACACGCCTGGCTCACTTGGGACTGGCGGTGTTGCAGGCAGATGTTCAGGAGAAGTAAGTGCTTTTGTAGGAACCCTCTGCTAGTGCGCTTCTCCTCACTAAGCCCCGCGATATACTCTGCTTGTTTCCCTCCCCAGCCCGGATACATGGGATACTTCGAGATTATGGTGCGCTGCTTCCACTCAATTGCTTCAACGGTCGCAGCTGAAGTCTCTGTTTCCCTACCCTCCACACACTCTTGATTTCACCACAGGAGATCTTGAATGTCTTTGACTCACTTGGCCAGGCCCAATCGCACTATTTCTACAAGCCAGGCGACGGGGCATGGATGACATTCGAGTACGTGTGCAGAATCGCCTTGTGACTCTGAAGGTCTGCAGAGAGCTGATCACCTACCTTTCCTTGTTCGTGGAGCAGTGACCAATGGGTCGGGTTCGACAATGACGAGTCCATCCGAGACAAGGTCAGCATCATCAAGCAGAAAAATCTTCGCGGAGGCATGGTAAGTTTGAGCCTCTGGGTTTCTGTGGTGTACAATCGCAACTGCTTTTGACGCTGTCGTCCCGTATCCTGCTCTCTTGGCCCGAAGATCTGGGCTGTAGACCTGGACACGAAGGACTACCAGTTCACCCGGACTGTGATCGACAGCTTCAGCGGCTGTCCCATGGACGGACTCTGGCCAGCTACGCCAATCGGATCGACTGCTTCGCTTCCGTGCGACTCTGCGGGTGTTGTGCTCGGCCAGCAGCAGCGCGTGTGCGGGAATGGCGGCGTCTGGAATACGGTTGACATGACTCAGTGCCAGGACAGGTTCTCGATTGCTCTGTACGCAGGTCAATGCGTCAATTGAATGGACCAGTCTTTGTCTATCTTTTGCCAAGCATCGTGCCTCCGTGGAATCGTTCTTTTCATGTTTTCTCCAGTACACCGATGCATGCTGCAAGCGCTCAAAGCTTTCGCGGGTATCTGTTGTCTGCGCTATCGCTCTACCATGCTTCCGTGTCAGGTTGGACTTGCGGTAACAGCGTGATCTTTTCATACACGACAATACAATTTTGTCAAATGGGCAACGTTCGGTGAAAGACGTGAAGGCACAAACGACGTGCCAGGGCCCTTTGGACTGCGGAACGCTTGCGCCTGTGAGGACTAAAGTTATTTAAGGCCCATGGCGTCTAGCTTCGCGCAGGTTGCGCTCCGTCGGCGGAGGAACTCGGCAAAGTACTTGTCCTCCAATGGCCGACCAGGGAGCAGGTGACGGCAGAACGCAGTGTGCATCGGCCAGAGCGGCACGAGCTTGGGCGAAGGCAAGAAGTCGGCCCACTGGAAATGTGAGGGCGGCGAGGTGGATACGCCGAGCTCGTTGATGAGATAGTCGATCATGTCCGGATCCAGAGTTGCCACTGCAAGCGCTAGGATCGGGATCGATTGTTCGTGCACACAGTTGAAGGTGTCGAACCTGCCATCGGCAATAGCGTCCGCGCTTGCACCGCCGTCTTTCGCAGCTTGGACCTCGTACTCCTTTGCAGCGCGCTCTGCGACTGCCTGCGTTAAGACCCTCAGCGGTGGTTGGAGACGAGGGAAGTCTCCGCTGGGTGTGGGCAGCAGCCTTGCGTCGGCAATGTCCACACCGCGTTCCTTCAATCCGCGGAGGAGTAGCACTGTTTCTGCATGTGCCGAGCACAGCTCGGACTCGACCAAACGCGCGGCGAGCGAGCCTCCGTTTGCCATTTTCCTCTGAGATCGCTGGAAGGGAACATCCTGGGTCACGTCGACGTTGCTGGCATCGAGCAGCCGGAGGGCGACGCGGGCTGGGACGATGAAGTGACCCGTATTCCAGAGCTCCTCCAGCAGCCGGACCTCGACACCGCCGGCGAGCAGGGCATCCAGCGTCTGTTCCCACTCGGCAATGTTGCTGTACGCAAGGTCGTCGTTGGTGGGATGCAACGGCAAGGCGTTGCCGTCTGAGTTAGCGACAGCCTTGACGAGGCGCGAACCGCTGAAATCCCAGGAATAGTCGCCAGCGCGGGATGGGTTGTCGAACGGAGGCTCGGCGCTGCTGATGATCATCTTGCGGGGATGGCCAGTGCGGCGGCCGAAGGCGTGGAGGCTGGCCATGACGAAGCGTGAGCCAAGGGGTGGCTGTGGAGGGGCAAAAGCGATCTTTGGGTCTGCGGGGGGTGGGATTAGGTCTTCCTTCAGGGGCGCATCTCCAGACAAGCGTGGAAGGACGGCGCGGAGGAAGAGGTGATTCCATGCGAGCGAAGCCCAGTCGATGCTGTTGCCACGCCAGTCGCGAATTTCGCTGCGAGGGTTGGGTGGGGACATAAGCAGCGGGTCAGCGCCATGGTCGAGAAGGATTTGGGCACATGCTTGAAGGGCGCTAGGTGGGACTCGGCCAGTGCGAAGTGGCTCGGCGGAATGCCATGCAAGGTACATGAGGGGCGTCCATCCTTGACGGTCGGGGGTGTCGACATGGACGCCGGAAGCGAGGAGGAGATGGAGGATGTCTGGTTGGCAAGTAGCTGCGGCAATGTGGATGGCGGCCTCGCCGGTGTCCGGGTGGAATGCGTTGAGGTGGGCGGTTTTGGCGTCCGGGTTGTTCAACAAGGCGCGGACGGCGTGGATGTCGGCAAGTTCGACGGCAGTGGATAAGGGTAAGGAGGAGTTGCGGGTGGAGAGCCATGTAAGCTTGCCTAGGGTGGCGTAGGGATCTTGGAAGAGCTCGGGTGGATAGCTGGGCTCGTCAAAGAGGTCGCCGGTGCCGTCTTCGCTGCGGAAGTTCCAGGGGTCGTAGGGGTCGCGGACGTTGCGGATGCCGTCGAAGCCGCTGTAGCTGTGGGCATGGGGCTGGATGATTTGCTGTGGGGGCAGGGAGAGAAAAGGATGATGAGGTG